AATTTTATCTTTTGGCAAATGAAGGGATGATATGAAACGCCATAAAAAAGACTGCCATCAAATTTATTAAATGTTCCTGTGAACGATTTTGTCTATTATGTACAACCCATTCGAGACTTTCTCTCGAGGAGTAAAAGAGGCATTTCATTTTGTAAACATCCAATAATAAGACAACAAATAAAAATATTAATGCAGCAGTCTTAAATCATTCATTTTCCTTTGCACTGCCTCAGGCTCTAGGCTCAGGGTTCATTTATGGCAAAGCCCAACACACACAAAAACCAAAAGATCTCATCCAGCATTTCCAGCAGTAATGATAAGTGAGAACAGCAAACTTGTACAGAGCTGACACTCAGTTTATGTTTGTTCTCTCTTTGATTTCTTGCCAATGTCTCATCGACAATGTGGGCTAGCCCACCAGGGGAAGTGATTTGTTTCTCAGAGTTAAAATGTAGGCACTCATCAAACAGTAAGGTGCTCTGGATGAAAGCATCCACCAAATGGTGTTATTTTTTTGTGGCACATTAACGAGCAGTTGGACTGTATCTGTGATAAACTGTCTAGACCAGCTGCACCTCCACTCCCAATCAATCTGGATTTAGTGGAGGAGAATCTCAGATAATCATTATTCTCCAGTAAAAAATAACAGCTCGTTTTTGTTGTGCGTAAAAGTTGCTTTAGTCTGAAAAATATGAGTATACACAAGTTACCAAGGCTGTCACTACCTTTGAGGTCATGTCCTCTGTAATATTCTTTTGAATCTTTGGGGGTTATAACAACCCTGGGGGAGTTAAAAACGTTGACATTTTAAAGGATGATTTCATTATTTTCAGACCCCTTACTGTATCCATCAGGGTTCAGTAGTTCTCTACCAGAATTTTATGCTGGGTAGTAGCATTGAAACAGCATTTAGATGTCTGTGTTGGGAAATCAATTTAAAATTTCTGGTGTTTCTACTCGGGTTTTTTTAATGTGCAAATTGTAAACACGCATAAAAATAAGGGCTGGGACTCCTGCGTTCCTCAACAATAACACAAACTTCACAATCCAGCTGTCCATTCAAGAAGTTGTCAGTTTTGTAGAAGAATAAAAAAATGTCTCATGCTGTAGTTGTGGTTGAGCTTGGTCAGTAGGATTTGAAGCAAGAATAGTAATGAGTCTTCTCTCCAACAGAGAGCTGCTGCTGACTCACTGGACTTACACATCAAAAGATTCTTTAAAGGCAATAAGGGACATAAAAAACAGAACTAGACAGAAGTCCAAGATATCTCTGCTAACACCATCTGTCTAGCATCTCTAGCAAAGTCCTGCAGTAATCCATGCATGAACAGGCTGTTCACTGTGAAAAACTGAAACAATGTCTGTCAATCCTGATCCAAGAAACATCACATCTCAATGATTTTTAACACATCGTTGTCAGACTCCATCCCATTTTCATATCTGGATGTTTTACTCTTTTCCTGTCTCTCTCACCACGCTCATTATTTTCAGCAAAAGGCATTTGTTTTCATCTGTACACTACCAGCCCAGCAACAAATGTCACATAAACAAAGTTAACTATAAGCAGTAGCATTTAGCTGCTAAAGAGGCAGATATTTGGGAGTTGGTGGAGCCCAAACACAAAGCTAAAACAAGAGTGAATCCAAATAAAGGCTAATTTTGACCTCTATCTGCTTACATGTGTGACTAGGCAACTGTTTGCTAATAAGTTAATGTAAGTTAATGTACTGTAAGATAATAAGAAGTTTGCCATATCATGTGATAATTTAGCATTGACATTAGTTGCACTGCCCCAAGTGGTCAGTAAAAGAAAAATTCATTAATGCATATGTGAGGTCAGGGAAAGATTGGGACTACAGTTTTAGACAGAAAAAAAAAGTAAACATAGGTCTTTAACAGCCCTGTCTTTGGCACTCCTGTTGTATGTTCTTGCTCTGCCTGCTGTGATATACTGCCAGTTTTTGTTTACATGCGCAGAGCCTCATCAATTAGTTCCCCAGGGCAGAATAAAGGTTATCTAATAGATGTTTCAGCAGCTCTGACATCAAACAGTAGATACAAAACTGACACCACACAGTGGTTATTTGGAAATGATGTGGATGAAAGAAATTCAAATTCTCCTCCTCAGAGAGACAGCTGAATTTAATGAGCGATAAGTCATTTAATGGGAATCATATCGCTGACAACATTTCTTTTTTTATTGTAATACGGATTTACCAGCCAGCACTAGCAATTAAAACCAAACTCAGACAGACAACTTCTTAATATTCTCTGTTGCTACCTTCCTTGTTTAGTAAAATCAGAGCCTAACTAACTTTCTTATATTCACTCTAAACAGTTCCTGAAGCTGCTTTAATATGTTTCTAAACACACAAGGTCTGGAGGAAGGCCTGCATAAAAAAACTGTGAAACACACACACACACACACACACACACACAAACAGCATATATACAGGGAGTTTAACTCATCACTTTGCCAATATTGTTTCAACTGTGATGTTAATAGAGCAAAGTCAGGTGAAGATTTAATTGAAATTGAAGGAGAGAGAGAGGGAGAGACAAAGAGAAGAGATGAGTAATGATAGAAGAAGAAAAACAGGGCAGAGACTGCATTCATACAGTATCTGTCACTGCGTGTGCATGTGCGTGTGTGTGCGTGTGTGTGTGTGTGTGTGTGTGTGTGTGTGTGTGTGTGTGTGTGTGTGTGTTGCCTGAGGAACAGTTGATGGATTTGCTGCTTGACTGCTCACACAGATTGGTGCCTGCTGTGATGGCAGCCTTGAACTGAAATTATGTGCACACTCACGCACACGCACGCACACAAAAAGAGAACTACACATAATTGCAATTTCTTTGTGTGCAAGCGCGTTTGTGTGTGTTCTTAAGTTTGGGCGAGCGGGTGTGTTGCCTTTAGGAGGCCATTTCAAAGTGCTGTGGAAGGATGGAGGAACACCAGCCGAAGGCCAAGCGAGGCACCGGAGAGGATGAGACAATTGAACTGGTTCAAAAGGCTGTGTTTATGTGTTCGTTAATAGCAGTTTATTATCTTCTGACAGTTGCTTTCTCATTTTCATTTAATCAGTTACAAGGTGACTGGCTTCTCCAGTTATTATCCTTTTTCTAAAGTGGTGAAATGAGATATAAATACAACAGAGCAGAAAAAACACAGATTAATTTCTACAATCTAGAGAGAGCTTTGTTTTACATAAGAGCTTGATGACATGTAGATTATGAATTATGTACATGGATGAGATTAATGTGTTGTCTTGATATGTGTGGTGGAGATGTTTGTTTTGTTCCAGTGGACTGGTGTGTAGAGGAGATTTTATGAGCTGCAAGCTAGTTTGTGCCAACAAGGTATGTATGTAAGGATGGAGGAGAATGAAATGAACATCCAACTACACCACCTGCAGAATGTAACTGCAGGAAGCGTTGTGAACTGGCTAGAAAAGACACACAGGTTCTCCACTAATATACTGTGTTGTTAAAAAATCTAAATAAGTTTTATAGTAAAATCCAACCAACAACTAGATCAATAGCTAAAGCAAAGTGCAGTGAGTTTATATGTGGGGTTAGTAAATACATTCTTTCTAATAAAAGTAGATAAATCTAACCATTATATGCAGTGGGGGGCATTACCCAGGATGGCTTCCTTCTCAGGCCAGTACTCCAAACTTAAAAACAACACAACGTGCACAGTTGGTTCAAATGACGTTTGGAGCAAAAGCCGAACAAACTTTGGTGAACAACTTTGGGCAGTACAAAATATAGCAAAATAAATGATTGTAAAGCTTACACCAGCAGAACAGCAGCTGCCCTGAGACTACACTCACTGTGCAACTCTGTACTTGTATTAAATTGGCTCTGCACCAAACATACACCATAAACAGATCGATGACCGTTGTTTGGCACCCCAGTTCCTACTTTATGGGAATGCCAAACACACATTTCAGCCAACTCACAGGTTAGCTCATTCAAACTAGACTGGTAGGGAAGCTGCAATCTTGAAACCAAAGCCACAAGTAGGAGCAAGAAAGCAGGTGCCTTAAATAACCCTGACACTGATTGAGACCAACTGGCAGAGTGAGTAAGTAAAGATGACAGGGAGTCATCTAATAGCCGTGAAGAAAACGTGTCCCCTACCACACATGCAAGTTTCATCTGTTGAGTTGGTAATTTTTTTTCAACCAGGCTGTCAAAGCTGAGGGATTAAAAGCGGTTTGAAGTAGCTATGGTGTATATAGATATATTTACATATGAAGGTTTGTACAGAGATGTTTTTGCATTGTGTCCAGATACAGTACGAGGAAGGACAATCCTCCTCTGCAGTTTTGTGACAGAAAGGTGAAATGATTGAATGTAGTGACTAGGTGCTTCTGACTTCAGAATCAATTAAAAGAAGGAACTGACCTGAGGTAAAATTTTCATCTGAACCACTGAAGTCCCACAGCAGTATACTGCAATTAAAATGAAACAACTCTCACATCCTGCTGGTAATGTTGATACTCAGGTGTTTTATAGTGTATATGGAAACACAGTGTCTGGGTCTTAAAACCGATTTTGACCTATTGATTGTGTATTGTGAGAGTTTATGAGGTTGACTACTTCCTTTTGTGAATTTGAGGGCTCGTGAAAATAAAGTAAAACATCATCTGCATAATGTTTAATTGTGTGTCCTGGATTAGCACAATGAATTACCTTTTTTATGGTTCTGACAGACAGTGCTACAATGTGATTTATTTAAAATACCAAACAGGGATTGAGAAAGCAGGCGACCCTGTCTGGTCCCTCAGTTGTGTGAAACTTTGTGGTGAAACCTTTTGATATAACTTGTTTGTATCCCCATAAGCAGTGATAGTGTCCATCGGTATGTTTTGTCAACATCTAATGAAGCTGTTTTTTTTTGCTACATTTTGACATGTTGATGCTTTTTCTTTCTTACCTCCTGTTTTTTATCCATCCTTCTTTCCTTCTTTCTTTCTTTCTTTTTTTTTCAAAAGTGGTGCATCAGGGAGCAGCAGCGAATCAGAGAGCAGCTCGGAGTCGGACACAGACGAGTCAGAGAGCAGCTCCAGTGACAGCGAGTATAACCAGGCCTCCCGCACACACACTCCAGAGGTAAGATGACGTGTACTCCCTGTAACTGTGTGTACACAGTAGATAACATGAGGATGACCTATATGAAATGGATAGTATAAGCAAAATTCAACTTTTTGAAATTCAAATTTCAAAAAAGAAAGAGAAGAGAAGCAAATTAAAGTTTTTGTGGACAAAACTATTATGTAACATGTCAAACTGATTACAATATTCAATGTTATGCTTCATTTAGTGAGAAATAAATGGAAAAAATAAGTTCAGAAGATAATAATTCTATAATGTATATAGATTTTTATGTTTATATATTACATCACATCATCATTTATTTGGTGCTGTGGTCCAATTAAAAAAAATTCACAGAATTTTCATACAGTGGGACAAAAGCTAGAGGCCCTCAAGAATATATTCCAATCACAATAGGAGAAAAAAGTAGCATTTTATTATTATTAACCTTAATTAATGGATTATGCCACATGCATATTTATAACCCTAATTTAGAGACAACAAATCATTACTGGATTCTTCAAATTTTGTTTATACCATCTGTCACAATCTTATATTGCTGGTTCCCTTTTTTATGAAAGCCAGAGATTTGATTTTGGAGAACAAATCCCAGTTAAAAATTCAGCAATTCAACAAAAAAAATAATGATAATGTGTCCAATTTTGTTTACATTTCCTAAAAAGACAGATGCAATCTCATTACCTTCTTTATTCTCCTTGATTCACTACTATTCATTTCACCGTGAGTGTGAATGCCCGTACACTGAATGGTCTCTTCCCTCTGGGTGTCTCTGGGTGGTGGTCTGAAAGTCATAGAAATCGAACTGCAGTAAACTGACTTGTAACATTGTTTATCACATTATTTTAATGGCTCCACACTGCCTGGTTTCATGCACTTTGCAGTTATAAAGAAACAGAAATACAGTGAAACAGGGAGAAAACTATGTCGGTGGAGCAGCAGATCTAACACATATACACTACAGTAAAACAACCCACAACATGAAGCTGTTTTCAAGATCTCAGACTTTTTAATGTTTGAAAAAACTGAACATTTTATAAATTGATATTTATTAATTAATTCCCCTTTTAGTTGCATCAAATTTCAAATCTGTATCTTCCCCTTAGTAGTTTATCACAGCATTAAGTCATGTTATGACAGTGACACCATAGATACAAAAGGAGATTTCACAGAGATTTACTTCTGAAATATTCAATAATCTGTGAGAGTTTTTCTTTCCTTTAGCCTGAGCCGCCCTCCACCAACAAGTGGCAGCTGGACAGCTGGCTGAACAAGGTCCAAGCTCAAACCAAACCTCTGGTTCCCCCACAGCAAGAACATCATGGTACAGGTTGGTAGATATGGAGATATATAGCCATTGCTTTTAACAGTAAGTAAAAAAAAAAGTAAGTTAACATACTTTAGTTTGATTATAAAAACTTATTCTGCTGCTCAGGCTCCATCAACCAGGGTCCAGAGACTTTCTCTCCAGGGAATGAAGCACCAGGAGTGGGTACGGCTGCCAAGGCCAAGCCCTGCGGATCCAATAGCACCCCTGTTCCAGCTGCACCAGCAGTGGAGCACAAGGATACGAGGGGAGCTTTCTGGTATTTGTTTGATAATTTGCCAAAGTGTCTTTTCAAGTAACATCTTTAAAATAAATGAATGGCTCACTGACAGATGAATAAAAAAATTACAGACAACAAGTGACAAAAACGTGTTTCTATCCAGAAAAGACATGAAAGAAAAATAATTTCTTGCTTCCCACAGCCCGGGCAGAGAGAAGGCCAAGGCCAAACTCAGCCAGAAGACCTCAGGGGAGGGCCAGAGGGCGAAGATGAGGCTGTCGCCGGGCCTGTTGTCAGGGCCAGAGGTCACGACCCCGAGGAGGAACACCACAGGGAAGAAACAGCCCAGACGGACAGAGAGGTCAAACAGTGTGGAGGATAATCAGAACCAGACATGGAGCAGAGCAAACCAGCACAGGTGAGGAAGGAAGGAAGTGACATATTTCTTTATATTTTTAATACATTGGTAGCTGCACATAACACCTAATAAAGCTTAAGGCTTATTTACATTGTGGAAATTGTTAGAAAGGTCAAAGAGTATGATGAAAGATCTTCAAGTCAGGCTAAACGCATTAACAAGACTAAGAATCCACAGTCATGCTAGCAGCTATATGAGCCTCTGTGATGCTAATGTCAGCGTGCTAACATGCGCACAAATACAGTGCTAAGATACTGATGTAAAGCAGGTCCAATGTTTACCACGGTCATCATCTTAGGTGAACTAAACAGGAAGGAAGTACAGCAGAGGCTGATGGGAATTACATTATTTTTTGTTTTTGCTCATACACCAAAGTATTGGAGGAAATTAAATTTTGGCCTGATGATGGCGCTAGTGTATTAAACCACAGCAAGAATTTGTTCTGTTGCAATTTCCGCAAGGGCTGCTTCCCTGATCAAGAGCAAGGGACAGAAGAAAAAGTTTTTGTGTTGGACAGGGGGTCAGAAAAAGGGAAGGGTTATATATTTTCATTTTTGCTTAAGGGAAGGTAGGAATGTTTTTTTGTTTTAGCACCAACAGAGTTGATGCTTGGAGCAGCATCACACATTTGGTGGCTGTAGTGGACCCGAGCATTTACCATTTCTTTATTCAAAAACAGGGAGTGGCTGTATTTTTTCTCTCAGGTTATGTTTGCCATACATCTGTTATGTTCAGATATTGTAGGAAGCATATTGCATCTTCCCAAGTCTAAGCAAATTTTGATTAGACTGAGAAAGGCATTGCTTTTTTTTATGAAGTAAAACATTCAGCCCCCTCCCCAACCTAACAATTTTCATACACTTGAAGTATTTTCAGTGCCATGGCCTCTCTGGAAAGCTGATTATCCAACATACATACCTAAATAATGAAGTAGTTATTGCTGCGATTTCTGCCTGACCTTCCTTAATTAAAAGTTCAATCTATTTTCTCACTTTGATAGATCCAATAAAAATAGCATCAGTTTTGTGATAGACCTAAGCTGTGTTCCTCACAGGAGAAAAACCAATCACAGCCAACTCCTGCATTGTCAGTCATGTTGTGTTTGCTGGGATGAGGCAGAAGATTTTTCACCAGAGACCATGGTCTGATCTGAAGTCTGTGTTTGAAAATTTAGAAATAAAGAAAGATTCTTTTATTTTAAATATTTGCTGTGTTAACTACAACCAAACTTCACCATTGTCTACAAAAAAAGAAATATGAAAATGACAAAAGCTGTCCTTTTGTTGTTCAGTTGTTTTTATTCTACAGGTTCTACAGTCAGTCAGTTCGTTCAGTAGGTCATAGGGTTCTGTAAATGTGGAACAATACAACAATGAGTTGACAAATGTACTTTTTTAATACTTAAGTATGCTTCAAATCAAGTACAGCAAGTACAACTTTCACTTGTATTGGAGTCATGTTTGACCAGGAGGACCTGTACTTTGGCTCAAGTAGTGAAGTTGTGTACTTTGTCCACTTCTGCTGACATGTTATCTATCAGTGGTTAAACTAACACAATTACACGTTACTACTCTGAGTTGTCACTTGGTGTTCAGAGCTAACAGAGGCCCCGCTGCATCATCAAGCTCTTTGGCAGCTAGCCACTGAACACATCTGTTGTGAAAAATGTTCAGACTGACTACAAGCCATACCAAACTGGCTGCTCAGCTTGACATTAGGCTAATTAGGAAAAAAGAAAACAGACTTCCTAGCTTCTTTTCTTTATGCTCTTCTTCCTCCATCACCTCTTTCCTTCCCACTTTTCATTTTTAACTTACCACATCCAAACAAGTTCAGCTGCATACATGCTGTTTTCAATTATTTCATGCTGTCATATATTTTTTCATTTTAACACACATTTGCCCCCTGCAGCTGACCGTGGCAAACTTCTACTGTTTGTCAGAGTGGAACTGCACAACAGTAGCAGTGCCTTGCTCAAGGGTGAATCCAATTTGAATTGCGATGCCTTCTCTTACTGTGTTTTGTCCCACTGCAGCCCTGCAGCGCGGGAGAAGGACCTGTTGCCTCCCCCCTCCCTGGAGCATCAGAACCCCACAAGGCCGCGAAGCAAACCCCCCAGTGGGAAAACAGCCCCCAGGAAAGAACCTCGCAGTGCTACCAATTCAAACAACAACACAGTTACTCCACCAGCAGCGCTACAGCAGACCCCTGTGCCAATACCTGCTGTCAGTGTAAACCAGGTACGTTTTTGGGGCTGTGTGTGTGTGTTTGTGGGGGAATCATCAAAACAGAAAAAACAGCAAATGTAGTTTTCCAACAATCCCTTTTACATCCAAATGACTTCCTAGAGGGAGAAAATACATAGAGACAGTTAGAGTGCATGACTCAAGCACTGATGGACTTTTTCCCTTCACTTAAACACATCTGGAAATGCAGTTCAAGTCCTACACATATGTAACACATTGTCCATGTATCCTGTAATGATCATTTCATCTTATAGTTTCTGGATGATTTGTCAAAAGTCGTAAAACTCTCCTGCATAAAAACGGTATTATTACATGATTATTATTATGGCTCAACACTGACTGGTTTTATCGAAGTATGGAAAGTGTGAGAGGGAGAGAGGGAGGGAGAGAACTGAAGGGAAGAGGTAGAACTGGATCATTGTCTGTCATTTTCACCTATAATGTGTCAACACTCTGTGGTTTTATGAAGATTAGGTAGTTTGAAGGAGGGAGAAGAAAGAAAGAAAGAAAGAAAGAAAGAAAGAAAGAAAGAAAGAAAGAAAGAAAGAAAGAAAATCACTTAAATGTTTACATATATATAATAAGACATATGTAAAAAAGGACAGGAAAAAAAAACATACAAATTCTACCAATAGCTACACAAAAATATCATGTTAAGTATTTGACAATGCATTTAAAGTCTGGCTTATTCCCAGTGTCAATAAAGACTAACTTTTCTCCAGGCTGTTAGTCACCAACCTCTCTGGTTAAAGCCTGAGCCCTGTTGTAGAGGGTCGACACCATAGACTGTAAATAATGACGGACGATGTCACCCACAGGTTTCTGTAGAGCGGTTTTGAAGCTCACCGTCGCCATCTTGCCAGTGCCTGACTCCACTTAACTAATGCAAAAATGGGCAAAGAGGTAGGGGGTGTGTTGAGCTGAGACTTTGGTGGATGCTGGTTTGTTGCAAGCATACGTTCCCACCCACCTGTGACTCAAAGTGTCCACACCCTCAATTATGCAGAACTTTAACCCACTTTTGGATCCATCCTCAAGTGGCCATTTGAAAAACTGCAGTTTTTGGCACTTCAGTGTTGGCTTCATTTGTCAGCCCCGGAGGTTGCCGCTTGGTTGAGACCTGACCTGAGCCTAGTGGGGTTCAACGGGGCAGACCGGGTTTGGATAAAAAGTTCTAATTGATGTTCGGGTTTGAATCGGGTTCAGTCACGTCAACGGTCGTTTACAAGGTGCCCACACATGTAATCAGGGTGGTAACTTCTTAAATATTTCCTACACAATAGGGACAACAGCACTTCTCAGTAATATCAAAACGACGACTCTGTGACACCAAAAACGAGCAAACAGAAAGACAAGACTTACAAAAGTGACCTGTGCGCGACATGTCTGACCCTGACATGTGCCGCCTCCTCAACAGCCATTCAGACCTCCAAACTTCACTTCATTCTTACATGTAATTCATTATTTAATTTGTTATATTCTGTTTAGTAAAAGATTTTTAAAAAAGGATTCTGCTGATCCCACTACGAAGCTGTTCCTCAGCTGCTGTGTTTGACTTCATTTAAGGTTAGAAGGTAAAAAATCTTGGCCTATACCATGATACAAAATCACTCTGAACAGTGATACGCAGTGTCATTTTATCATCATCACCTAACAACCTGTCCACACTCGCACCATCTGACAAATTCCCCTGTATTACCCATGCATATAACCTTACGTGAATTACCTGGAAATCCAGAGGAGTGCTAACATCAACCTGTGCTCTGCCATGACATTTGATCCAGTGCCTGTCTCTCTGTAGCTGTGCAGAGCAGCTGGCTAATGTTAGCGTCAACAGAACTTTCCATAATAAAAAGGGCTTAAGAAAGGAAATGCTTTTACCAGCAGTGTAAATAATCATTCTACACGGGACAGTTTTTTTTCCCTCTTTTTTCTTTTTCAACAAAAACACAACATGGCATTTATTGAGAATGGATTTTTGCAGATGGCAACATGCACTGGAGCGGTTCCAGGAGCTTGAGAAGACTGTCGCCTCGTTCCTGCCAAGAGAATGGGTTTAGCTGTAGACTGGGAACATGAGCGCTGTTTTCTCTGCTGCATCTGCCTCTGTAGTTGCTTTTCTCGTGTTGATTTTACACACACAGCTCTGCCCTTCACTTCCTTTAGTTTCACAGAAGAATCATCGAACATTTCACATCTAAAATCAAGAATTCAACATTTGAGGCACAACTTTGATTGGAAACAAGACAGAGCAAGAGACGCAGCTGTATCTATACCAAGGAAATCAACTGAGCAGATTGTGGCTGGTTTTTACTGGCACATATTTTTCACACATGCAGAATAAGTGTAAAGGCTGTTAAATTGATGGAAATGCATAAACAGCTTTAAGAAAGGTTGATCGTGTATTTTTTTATTGTCAACAAATTCCATGAAAGGACCAATAGCGCCAATCATTTGACCCTATTAACAAGTATTGTCTGTGTTATAAGTCTGATATACAGCAGCTCATTCCTCTGTGCCACAGAGCTGAGCTGCATGAACATAGGCTCTAAAAGCTGCAGCGCCCAGCTGTTGTAGGAAATTACATAGGCTTTGAAAAAGTAAACAGAACTATGTCTTTGTAAAGATTTATGTCTTCAGTAGGGATAGGTTGGCTTGCGGCTGAGTGCCACAGACAGACAGAGTGAGGGAGTTGGACTAACACACTGTTGGTTTTGGTCTTTTTGTTTCCATTAAGTAAAAATATAAGTGTGCAATGTCAGGAGCAAATGGAGAGAAGTTTTATGGAAGTCTGAACTGTGACAGTTCAGCATCAAACTTTACATTGCCAGAGAGTTTGCGGGGCTGAGAGGTTACTGCAGTGTTCAGAAATGTATACAGCCTTTAGCAAAGACATCAAATTCTAGACTATACTGGTGAGTGAACTCTGTCTGGACTCAGACATTTGAGTCTTCGACTTCTAAGTGTTCACAATGTAGCAATCAGGGCTTAATATCATCGCTGCCATCAGAGAGGACACACCACAGCAGCCGTTCCCAACCTTTTCCACCTCATGGCACACTTGAAAGTCTCAAAAATGTAAGCAGCCCGGAGGCCAAATAATGTCTTCTCAGAGCACTTTTTATTTGAACGGTAATATTCAAACATTCAGGACTGAACTGAAAGCAGGGGAAACATGCAGGAAGCTCAATCAATCACTTGTCGATTCGCCATCTGTCTCTTCACTCTCGTTTCTTTTCGTTCTTCCTGTTGCTCTTCATTTAGATTCTCCAGTTTTTGCCATGGATGTAATTGGTAAGCTCGCAATCAGACTGAGATAGCAAACCAGTATTAATGTGGTCCGGCTAGCGACAACATAAAGGTTCCTCTCATTGGCTGATCACAGTGAGAGGCCTTAATACGAGAAAAACCAAAAACAAACAATGAAAGGAGTTTTTAAACATTTCTAATGTTTTTAAAGATCTTTTTTAAACATTTAAAAATACTATTAATATTTTTATATGTATTTTTTTTATAATTACATCTTTTCACCTAAAGTGTGCTGTTTTGCAAATGACTTTTGTTGTAGCTGTGCAGCTACGTCTAAGGAAGAACCAAAATAAGAAAAAATATCATTTTCAGTTGCATGTGACAAACATGAGACTGTCTGTGCTGAACTGTGAGGCTGACACATAAACGTGTTTCATTTCACTTCACAGGTTAGTCGAAAAAAGCTGGCAACTTGTTTTACGTAATTTGCATGATATCATCACATATAGTAACATATAGTATATACTTAACTTATTAATCATACTTTATGTGAACTGCAGGGGCTTAAAAATACATCATAGATGGCAAAGTGAACATGTGGAGAGAACTCGAGCTCTGTGTGTTTTATATGAACCTTTCCAACACTTCCATGGTGATCCTTATGGGCTGGTGCATATGGATAGTTATGAGCAGTTTTATTTATGTCTTTCCTCGTTTTTGTCTACGCAGCAGGACAAGAGGAAACACCGAGGCCCGAGCACCAGAATCACACCCAAGTCCAGAGAATTCATCGAGACAGATTCCTCCTCCTCCTCCTCAGAATGCCAGTCGGATACAGAGGAAGCCATCAAAATCCCCGCTCTGCCGCAGACGACACGCTCTGCGATTAACACACAGACTCTGTCCAACACGCACATACACACGCCTCTCCTCCCGTGCCTCGGCTCTGCCGGCAGTATGGGCAGTCTGGGAGCATTTGGAGGGAAAGGACTGCGAGTCAAAGATGGTAGCAATGTGACCACTAATGGTAGCAGCAGTAGTAATAGTAGCATCAGCAGCAGTAATAATGGCAGCACTAATAGCTGTAACTCCCTAAGCATTAGCAACATAAGTGGTTCATTCGGTACTTCTGTTCCTGATCCTGGAGGGTTAGGAGGGCAGTGCAAGGACCTGGAGTCCATGTCCCCACCTTCCAACATGGGACACGAGGTGCCTCTCTCCCCCCTCAGGGAGTACCCGGAGATCCAGAGTTTGTGGGTGAAGATCGACCTGAGTTTGCTCAGCAGGGTGCCGGGCCAGGGTTTGGGGGAAAGATCCAGGGTGGGACTCGCAGAGAGGGACGGCAGTGAAGGGAGAGACACAGAGAGACCGGGCGAGAGGACAGGGGTGGCAGAGAGAGACAGACAGAAGCAGGAAGACAGGGAGTGGCCCGGGCTGAGAGAAAGACAGAAGTTAACTAAAGGGGAGAGACAGGAGGAAGAAAATGAGCGATTAGTGCAGGACAGAGAGAGGCAAGGTGACAGAGACAGATTAACGGAGAGAGAGAGGCAGTCGGATAGAGAGGACAGAGACAGATTTGGGCTCGGGGAGAGGGAAAGGACGACGGCGAGGGACAGAGAGAAGGTATGCTTAGGTCTGGGGGTCCTGGACAACCCCCCAGTGCAAGAGCAGAGTAATCCCAGGCTGGCTGGGAGGACGGACAGAGGAGAGAATGGAGGGAAACACAGGAGACAAGCAGCTGCGAACATGATGGTCCCAACAGAGAAACACACCAGCAAGAACAAGAGGAAACACAAGGTGTGTTGTCTCTAACCCGTCTGTTCTTTGTATATCCTGCTCTCTTTCACTCTGTCCGTCTCCAACTCCTGTGTTCTCCGTCTTCCCATATCCCCAGTCGGACCACACTGAGTCATCAGTCAACGGCAATAAGAAGCTGCGATTGGACAAGGACTGTCAGCTCCTCCCACCCTGCATCTCTCCAATACACAACCACAAGAACAGCTCCACAGAGTAAGTATTAAGAGTGTAGCCCCCCCAAAGGACTAAGCAGCAGGAGGAGGAGGAGGAGGAGGAGTACACAATACTGCAGTGAAGCGTCGGGGAAATCGTGAGGTTCTGGCAACAGTCGCTCAGAATGAACAAGACAGACTCACAGAGGATTACAGTCTATGAGAGGAGGCAGATACTGTATCAATACCAATCCACCAGCAGCAGCCTCAATAGTCCAGAATTCAGTGCAGCCTCAATATGTAGGGATACACAGTGGCTCATTAGGATATCTTGTCTAGAGCTGAATAAATGCATGAACATCCTCACTGTTCATGGTTAAAAGTCGGATTCATGGCTTCATTGTGCACAAAAGGAACATCTCTATCAAATCCGTCACTCAGTGGGTTTATCAATGTATCTTAACAATGGATCATCAGTCACCTTCCCTGTTCTTCCCCTCACTTAACTCAATGAATATCACAACCTCGTGTAACAAACACTAGTAGATCAATCAGACGAGTTTACTGGAGACAGAGTATTTTTAGCGAGGTTTAAAATTTTTAATGTGGTGATGAAGTCATTAGAAAGGGGAGTTCAATTCACACTGTGACACAGGGATGACAAACTGTGAATTTCAGCTTTCCGTGTGAATTATTAAAAACAGACTAAGCTGGCTGGTGCTATAAATAAGCCTCAACTTGACAGCCACAGAGGAAATATTTTTACAGCATCTTTGTGTTATGATAGAGAAAACAGCAGGGGAAGGTGGAAGGGAGTGTGTGTGTGTGTGTGTGTGTGTGTTGGGGGGGTGACCCGGAGCTGAACCCATGACATTGTGTGGCAGACGTCTCAGTCTGCCAGAGTGCCACCACAGTGTCTGTTTATCACCCAGGAGGGTTTTTTATGGAAGCTGTAAACTGGACGATGAGATCATCCAGCTCAGATTCATTTAGTAATTTCTAACCTGCACCTTTTGACAGTTATTGTCATCCTGTTTCAATCAGTTAGGTCAGATTTTGTGTTTCTTTCCATTTTGTGTTTCTTTCCCTGTAAAGCGGCCTTGGGTGCCTTGAAAGGCGCTATAAAATTCCAAGTTATTATTTTGACAACACTTAATAAGAAAAGATTTATTTTAATGATTGAAGCACAATGATGAGGGAAGTTTTGTTTTACCCTTGTGAGGCCCTCTTTTGTTGAGCTTTTGAAAATGGGGAAATGTGGTGGCTTGAAATCTCAATGAAATAGTCTTAAAGGAGCTGTCTGTGCTAAACGCCATGTGAAGACTTTTTCCATGGAAGCGGAGAACCAGCTGTTTTCTGACAAACAACCAGCCACGCTCCCGTTCACACCTACAGGCGATTCGGAGTCACCACCTAACCTGCATGTCTTCGGACTGTGTGAGGAAGCCCCAGTAAACCAAGGCATGCACCAGGAGTACATGCAAACACACAGAAAGGCCCCAGACGGTCGACGGGTTCAAACCCAGAACCGTCTTGCTGTGAGGCGACAGTGCTAACCACTACTCCACCATGCTCCACCAGTAAATAAAACATAAAATAAAAAAATTCTCCTTTTTGGTTTTCTCAGAGGAGAATTCAGGACATGTGATTTATAGAGCAGATATGAGCTGTAGCAGACAAAAAATAATTTAATTTGGACTTTAAAAGCCTGAAATCTTCTCACTTGGCCCAGTAAGAGTTGAGTCATTGCAAATGTATGACAGAGGAATATTTGGCAGATGCACTGTGGTCATTTTGTGCTATGGGGATGTAAATTTCTTAACTTATTATCCCTTTAAAAGAACTATGAGAGCTCTCATACTTTCTTGCACACATGCACACACACACGCACACACACACGCACACACAAGCGCATACACACACACACACACACACACACACACACTGGCATCCACTTAAGGATAGACACACACAAACGCATGCAAATGAGTATAGTCATACACACAAACACACACCAGCACACATCAATTATGCTGTACACAGACAAGAGGGCCCACGCACACACTCGCATATTCGCACACACGCACACAAACACACACACTCACACAACTAATTAGTCTTTGTCTCCCTGGTTTTGTATATTATCACTAATGTCGGGGCCCGGGGCGGTGTTCTGCGAGCTCAGCAACTTTTCTCACTGCATCAAACCCCCAGAGTTTCCAGGCAGAGGAAACACATAAAAATATTATCTGTTGTGTTGCAAACAATATGAGTCACAAGAGCCACAATAAGGCAGCTGAGGGAATAATCGCCGATGCTCAAGCAGGGAAGACAGAATTACAACAGTTTTAGAAAGAAAATATCATTCAGCAACTGCAAATGAAATGGCAACAACATAGTTAGACAATGTTAGCGCAGCTTATAGAGGCAGGCTCTTGCATGCTGAGTGTTTGCGTTGTTAGAATGTACTTATTTTTGTCCCCCCCCCTCCGCCCCTCCCATCAGATGTTTGGAGGTACAAAAGGAGCCATAGATGAAAAAAATGAACAGAAAGTAGGAATAATAATAATAGATTTTAAGGATTTTTAGTCTCAAGAAGAGAAATTCAAGAAAAAGTCCCAGCAACAGCTCAAGGGGAGGGGGGCTAGGTGGAGTTGGAGTTAGATGGAGGGTAAGGAGCCAGGGCAGTTTGAAGGATCTGTGTGGGGGGGGCAGCTTGTTTGGATGGTGGTTGAGGCGAGTTTGAAAAATGGAAGCCAACAGACACACAGCCAGACACTTGGTCTGGGAAGCAGTTGGAAAATAATTTCAGGAGGACTGGACTTCTTCCAGAACCTCTGACCCCCACAAAGTGCTCTTCACAGGAATCACATTAACAAACACACAAACGATGTTTGAGGTTAGTGCAGTGATTGTTAGAGAGTGAAAACATTTACACTCTGATTACACCAGAATCTCTAAAGCACATGTATTTCTTTCAGCTGAGAGGGACGGGGTAGCACTGTGGAGGAATAGGTAATAAAGATAATAAAATGGCTTTGGGAGTTGCTGCAGTCCTCTGACAATGTTTTATCAGTCATGATTGATAATTTGTTACTTATCACTTGTTATGATTATTTAGATTATTTCCCTTTGTTGTCAGGATTATTTATGATCCTATGTCGTACTCTTAAGAGCACATGACAGATTTTAAAAGGGAAACTGTCAAATAAATAACGTTTCTTGTGGATTAACTAATGTACATATGACCTGAAAAACCACCACTGATGGGAACTGCAGTCCTGTCAGCAATGATCGGTCTCAGCTGAAACAAGAAAGCAAATCATATTTAAGAAATGTGCACAAGTCACATAGATAATAAGAGTAAAGGTGCTAAACATATAGTAAAAAGTTCATGTTCAGTACCATTATAGTGAATGAAGAAATCATGTTTGTGCCTCTGTGTGTGTGTTCAGCAGCTCTCTGAACAGGAAGCAATCTCGACGGCGCAACGAGAAGCTGCTTCCTCCCCTCCTGTCCCCGCTCTCTGACGACCCCCCGCGCAAACGAACCTGCGACGGCAGTTCCTCTCTCAGCCAGGAGGCCGGCGCCTCAGGGATTCTGGCCTGCTCCACTACATCCACCGCCTCTTCCTCCTCCTCCTCCTCCTCCTCCTCTCACAGACACAGGAGAGGTGAAGGCAAGGTGTCGTCACATGCGAGAAATGTGAGCGTGAGTGTCTTTTGCATTTTGTGAGCTCACTTGTTCTGATCTATACAATAAACAAGTGTTGGCACGAGAGGCCTGCTGGTCCACTTACATGTCTCCCAGGTAGATGGTTTGCTCTGGTGAATAAACTAACTTTGAGTGATCGTCAGCTCTCGGTGTTATCTTCTTGAGTCGCTCGCCTGACGGTGTTCCAGAAATAACTGTGGAGTTAATGATGTACTGTTCTTAAAACGTATGAATCTGCAGCGTGACACGCATCTCCACCAGTGTGAGTCATGCTTCCTTACCTGCAATTTGTCTGAGTTTCAGGAGCCAGAGTCTCTAAAATATCTGAGAGTGCTTTGTGTACAGGAGGAGGTGATGCATCAAACGCAGCAGGACAGATACATAAAGCAGAGCTTCCAATAAACCGTTCAACTATATATGACAGAGCCATCCATCTTTACATACTGTGTTACTGCGTTATAATTTTTATTGCAGTGATTCTCATCATCATTATCTTTATTATCATAATGTGTGTAGCTTATACAACATTATACTTTCACTGCACTAACACCTACAGCTCATTTTTGCGTTTACAGATTATGTTATTATTGGTATTAGCTAGTGTTCTTTTTATCTTAATGTCCTGTGCAACTCTGCGTGCCTCTGCAAACTGCCCCTCAGGGATAAATAAAGTGTTCTGAATTGAATGAAACTGAATTGAATTGAACCTAGTCAATTACTAAATGTAGAAGCAAGTATTGATGAAATCAACATTACTATGTATAATTTAATGCTAAATTATTTATCTTTAAAATCTCAGAAGTTTTTCTCCATCCAGAGGAAAGTAAACTGCACATATTATCATGCACAGATTTACAAAAGTGAAACCTAAGCAAAGTCTAGAACGTACATATGGCACATGTGACTTTAGGCCTAAAGGACAAAACACGTGTGCCAGATGGATTTTTAAAGCCAGTTTCAGCACGTCTCATTCTTTCAACCCCTCAAAACACTGACTCCTGCAACTCAGCAGCAGAGAGGACGCATCACTGTGAGTGAGAGGCCAACAATGACGTCTAAGTATCTGCTTGTTGAAAGCCGCACACTGTAACACTCATTGATACTCTTGTAACCACAGATTTCAATGCCATCCCTACAACAGGAAATGGAGCCCCACGGCGAGAAGCCCTGTGGAGATGGCTACCATGCCAACGGACAGTCAGACTCCGAGGTGTGGTCGGAACCACTGATGGAACCTGCAGAACCTCGCAGGCCAAGGCTGTCGTTCAGTGACACGTATGTATGAACCCGACACACCATTGTAAAGACGTCATCACCACATTAATACTGCTGATGGCACTTTAGTTTACTGCGACGGGTTCCTGATGTGCGTTTATGCTCGATCTCCCCATGACGTCTGTTCAGCAGCATTATTTATAGACATGTTTTTTTTTTTTTTTTTCCTTATCATCACTGTTGTTCAGAAGACCCTCCAGTCTCAATGTAATTACCTCACTTCTTTTATGATTCCCACATTCCCTTTGTCACGCGACGGCAGGTGTTTCCTCTTCACGCGGAACGGTGTTTTGTTTACTCCGCTGTCTTGTTTTTTTCATCTAAATATTTGCCAGAGTTTTCTGTACTCAACATTAATGTAATTACCGTAAACTCGTTCCCTGCATTGTATTTTACATTGAGGCCCAACAGGCTGAATTCGACAGATGCGTTGCTTTACGGCACAAAGGGAGTTTGTTTTATGGCACAAAACGTTGCTCTTCCAGTGAGAACACTTCAGCGTTTCTGGCACATGAGGGGAGTGAGTGAAAGGCTCAACAGCTCTAGTACTGGCAATACCACTGGAACGAGAGAGTGGCTGCTAATTATCCCCACCATGACCCAATCCAAAATCCAGTCGACCCCGACCGACCCTAATAGAGAGAGAACAGCAACACTGGCAGCTGCATGATGATCCACCAATTAGCGAGCGGCCGCAGTCAGAAGGAATAACAATACATGTCATTTCCCCCTGAACTTTACAAGGCACTCTTGTCTGCCACCAGACCTCTGCAGCTGATCCAAAATGCTGCTGCACGTCTGGTGTTCAGCGTCCCCAGCTTCTTCCACAGTACTCCTGTTCTCCATTTACTACATCGGCTCCCTGCGCGAGCCAGATGGAGGCTCTGGTGCTGGCCCACGGCGCAGCAAAAGACTCTGAACATGCTTTTAGTTGTATTTTTTAAGAAGGATTCTACCTCTTGTTCTTTGTAGTTACTTTGCACAAAGCTTTCGAAAATAATGTAATATAACACTCTCTATCTCAAAACCATATTTTTTTCCTGCTATGATAATGACACATCATATGATAAGAGGTGATAGAGTCCGTTCAGATCCACTAAGGTGTTAGATGCGCTGACGCACGGAGCTGAGACCTGATCCGACCTGATCACACTGAAAATAATTTAGACCCTACACAACTCGGGGGTCTTGGATAGTAGGAACCATTTGAAGACCTCCGTGTCTCTTCCTCTGCTTGCCTTTGATATAATTCATCTAATTTTAGGGATGATACCTCTTCACACAGTGTTTTAATAGCGAATAGTGGCCTATTAGTGTATTGTATTAGGTGGAAATAGCTGTAACCACCTCACCACTGGACTGGTTGTGTTGAATCCTGAAAAGATGATGCATCTTGTTACTTATTTGTCCCAAAGGGTGTCTGCATTATTCATGAAACAACATGTTTTGTTGCTGTGCTAAGGTTACATTAAGCCTGAGGTGTGTATACCTAAATAGGCTACTGTATATAACACACTCCAAGCGACTTGTAGGCATGTGATTATGTAAACCAATAACATGCAGGGGTTTTGTTAAATGACGTGTTGGTGCAAACATGTGACATTATGTTCATTTTTTTTTTTGTTTTGTTTTTTCACTGTGCTGTTTCCAGAGTCCACAGTGCAGACTACTACATGCAGGAAGCCAAGAGACTCAAGCACAAAGCTGATGCTTTGGTAAGTCTTTCTATAATCACTAAGTAAGACACACACACACATTTATACCTCCGTGCTCGAGCCCCTACAAGAGGCTAAGAGAAGACAGATGGTTGGATACACAGATATAGCAAGAAAATGATTATAAACACACAATGTTAACTTCTACAGTCTAGACTGTAATTATGTGTGTGCCTGTTCAGACGTGTGTGTCATTGCTCATGTGTGCACACAGTCAGTCTCTGTAGAATGAAAATCTATTTCATATCAGGGACTGTACTGTATAATTTGGGTTATTTATTGCACAATTTGTCTCTGAGGGAACATTGCATTCAAGGACTGATGATGTCTGCGAGATTATACAATATCAAAGGAATTATCTGATCCCCCCCCCCCCGAACAATGAAATGAGATTTATTTAACTTGTTATTTATCTTATGTTTACGCATTGTTTCCTCAGATTTATCTGGGGATTTGCATTTTAGCGGGGGATTATTCAAAGAGAAGACTGTGCGTCTGCCACGATGCTGTTAAGATATTCCTCATTCCATCTCTGTCTTATTCACGTTCTCTCTCTCTCTCTCTCTCTCTCTCTCTCTTTCTTTCTCTCTCTCCCCCTCTATCCTCTGTTACATTCCTCTGAATTTCATCTTTGTCTCTGTCACTCTGTGTCTGTCTTTCTTTCTTTCTTCTTTCACCTTCACTATTTGTAGATGGACAAATTTGGTAAAGCGGTGAACTACGCAGACGGTGCGCTCTCCTTCATAGAGTGTGGAAATGCTATGGAGCGAGATCCACTAGAGGCCAAGTCACCGTACACCATGTACTCCGAGACCGTGGAGCTAATCAGGTATGCAGGACATTATCAAGTGAAATGAATGGGAGGAAGTTAGTAAACTCTTTATTAGCCCCAGTTTCTTTGTCAAAGTAACCTCCTCTTAGTGAGTGCACAGTTTAACAGGCAAAAAAATCAGGAAACTGGCAAATGTGTCTCTCTGTATTAAAATAAGCATTAAATTCAACAAAAGTGGAGAGTGAGGTTAAACGAATATTTAAGGAGGTTTAAACTGAAACTGAAAACTAATCCTCTGTAGCACTAACCAGTGTTAAGTCACTAAACCTCGAGTCAGAGTCGAGTCTCAAGTCAACAAGTGTTCAAGTCTGACTCCGAGTCTTTGTCAAGTTTTCATTACATGAGTGGGAGTTGTGCTGTTCAACACGAATTAACCAGTTGTCACTGTTTCAGAGGGAGTTTATTTACTGTGTGAGACACAGTAGAGTGCTGCAGGAAGGAGTCCTAAAACCTGGAAATTTGTTGCCTTTTAGCACTTCTGCTTCCCTCCTCCCAAAAAAGTCTGTGGGTTTTTTTGAACAGGTTTTTGGTCAGATGACTGAAATAAGGTCTGTGGTTAACACAAGCTCAGAAAATACCTTAGTAAATATCCCAGTTTTTACATCTGTCAAAAAGGCTGGGTGCTAACAAGTGGCTAAACGAGACTACAGAGGTTGTCGGGGATGTTAAACATCATCACGCCGAACACGAAAGGCGAATTACTCACCAGTCCACCTTTACTGCCTCGTTGTTTCTACTTGTGCTTTTGCAAACTATTACTAACTCTGTAAGAGGAAATGCTTTTATAGAAGAGGTAAGAGCTCAATGAAACTACAAGTTGAAGTTTAGTGTTAGTGAAAGTGAAGTCATGTGACCATGATGTGGTTTGTTTATAATATCAACTTTTTACCTCTGGCGACTGTATTTAGGCTTCAAAAATCATAAAAGTGGTGTTTCATTTGTGAAGATTATCTTGCTGAACAAAGCATGTAGGTATCATAAACTTTTGTTTGTCACAGATCTTATTTTCTGCAATAATCCAAAAAGCCATGTAAAAATCCCATTGGCTTTTTGTCGACAGACCCAGGGTGACACTAGCATCTGGGTTGGCCTACAAAAATATGTCTTCCCTGCAGAACTCTACAGCCAAAGAAAATGCACACACTCGCACTGAAACTGATAAAAAGTCTCCAAATCTAAATACAGTCGATGCTCGAGTTCGAGTCATCAGTGTTCAAGTCCAAGTCGAGTCACCAGTCCTGAAAATCAGGACTTGAGTCGGACCCGTGTCTGAGTCCTGGATTCCAGTACTTTAACACTGGTATACACGCTACTCAACTATGTAACTGTTATATACTGCGTTTACTATAGTAGCGTACATGCTGTATTTATTCTGCATAAACTACACTGGTATATTCTTTCCTTAAAACCCAGATAAATGGGTCTCTACTTCCTATAATTGCAACATAATTATACTGTTTGAAGAAATGTGTTTCAGATGTAAATGTTACTGTTATCTGTTATTATCTGTTATCAGCCCGACCTTACTGACCTGTTGTAGATTTAGTCTAATAGCTTGAATAATGCTCTGCTGTTGCATATGGCCACCTCTCTGCCCACAGTAAATGACAAATCAAAACTTGAGTGTTTGAATAAAAACTAACCCCTAATTAGCATTAAGCCAGAGATATGTTCAGAAACCACCGGACTCTCCAACATTTCTTTTTTTTCCTTTATTGTCTAAAGCCTCACAGACATGCAGGGCTTTCTAATGAGAGCAATGTAACTAGTGTGTGAACAGGATGTCCGCTGCTTTCAGGGTTGCCAGTGTGTGAAGTCGCAAAGTGCAACTTAAAGACAGGAAGCTGAGAATAACAAATGACCGCCACCTCTGAAGGCAGACAGGTTGACAGCAGGGTGGTGTAGCGGGAGAGAGTCTTTTAACTGAAGGACTGTGGTTCAAGCTCTGCCTGTCTGCACTCATCCATCCTGCTGAAGTGTCCTTGAGCAAGACACTGAATCGTTACCACCTGCAGGGCTGCTGATCTGTGACTCTGACCTCTGACCTCTGTGTGGGGAAAAGACAAGTGTTTTCCTACAGACAGCAGTAAAGGATAAAGGTGTAACTCCTCTCCCGTGATCCACCTGTCACTGCTGAATTTCATCTGGACTTATTAGCAATCAGAGAGGGTTTAACAGGTCACTGAGGTCACTGAGGTCACTGAGGTCACTGAGGTCACTGAGGTCACTGAGGGCAGGAGGCCGCAGCTGACCCCACAGCTTTTTTCTTTTATTTCAAACATCTTTATTGAGCAATTTTCTTCTGAAACAAATGGCAATGAATCAGTTGCTGCTCGATTTGGCATCAATAAAATGAGATGATGTATTTTGCAGGTATCTGCTTGACATTCAGTCAGTGCAAAAACATGAAAGAAAACAGAAGAGTAAACAACAGAAAAGAAAAAGAGAAAAGTGTAAAAGAGAAAATGAAGAAGGAGAAAGGAGGGAGGAGAAAGAGAAGGCGGCAAGGAGTCTAGATAATCCTCCCTCGTCAATCACTACATGTTCACTCACTCAGCCGCTCTTGCCTTTACATGATACTGTGAAAAATGACTTCGGTGTAGGATGTCGATTGTCACTTGTGATTTCAAGTTGCGAGATACTTAACGAGAGGCTGCCAAATTCTGTCTAACTGAGACAGTCTGTTTCTCAAAGCAACTCTCAAAATGTGAGGTGCTAATTAAGTCGTCCAACTATGTCTTAGTGGTTGGGTCAGTCATTTTCTTCCAGTGTACAAGGATTTTAGTTTTTGCTGTGATGAGGGAATAGGAAAGAAAGAGTTGAGAGGCAGTTAGATTGATCGTTGATTCAGATCAGCCAAACATGTCCCCACAGCATTTTTTTGAAGCATCTAATAAATAACCAAAGCAGAACTGTATCCCTCCACAGAGTCACATAAAGCCAACTTGCTTGCCTTGCCTGGGGGCACTTCAGCAGGGTTGACGCTGGCTGTCAACAAGCTGAAGGAATTAATTACTAACTGCTCCGTAACTCTTATATTCTTTATGTTCAGAAAGAGCAGCAGCTCCGTCACTGATCTTAACCTTGATTTCCTTATTAAAATGAACCTTGACTATATAGATGTATTCACGAGCATGAGAGAAGTAAAGTGTGTTTACGTCTGACTCATAAATCACTGGAAATGTCAGCAGATGAGTAATGAGCGTCTCTCCCAGGTATGCCATGAGGTTGAAGAACTTCACCAGCCATTCAGCTACTGTCGCTGAGAAGAAACTAGCTGTACTGTGGTATGTGATATGATTCTCTCTTTGTGTGTGTGTGCGTGTGTGTGTGTGTGTGTGTGTGTGTGTGTGTGTGTGTGTGTGTGTGTGTGTGTGTGTGTGTGTCTGTGTGTGTTTGTGTGTGTGTATAACATTACTCTATACTCTTTTATTTATACTATTATTATACTTTTTATATTTGATTATTCACATTAACCGTTATTGTCCTGGTGGTGTAGGTGGTGTAGGCTAGGGAGTTTTATTGCATGTCATACCACCTCTCCCCTTTCTCATTTCCTGTCATCTCTCTATATGTCTCTCTCCCTCTCTCTTTCTCTCTCTCTCTTTCTCTCTCTCTGTCTCTCTCTCTCTCCATATTTATATATATATATATATATATATATGTATATATATATTCCTCAAAGTTTTCAAATGTTAACATTTTCAGCCTCTTGCTAAAACATTTTCGTATTCTTATCTGAAATCTCTCTTATTCTTATTCATGTGACTTTTACTCATACAAGAGTACCAAGCAGGATTCACCAAACTCTCTTAACTGTTCAAATGTATCAGTTATCACATGCCGGATGATACCACCTGTTCATGTACACCACCAAATCACTATATATGATATATACCTGTTCATTCACAAAAATGTTACCAAAGAGTGAAAGGAATAACACCATTGAGCTGTCATAAATCACGAAAATAAAACTGTTAATTTAGGTGTGTCAGTAGCTGTATTACAGGACCGGAAACAATTAGAAAATATTTATGAAGAGATTGGTTTGACATATAGTTGGATGCTAAAAAAATAATCTTCCTGTGGCAGAGCGGTCCCTGACTTTTTGGATAGTTTTGGTTATTATAGGCTTACAGCAGGTGACGGTAGGCGACGACCTGACAGCAATCAACATACAGACAGTGAGGCAGCTATCTGAATGAGAAATTCCAAATTCAATTAAATAAAACCATTATGATTCTGAAGTCAAACAGGTGTTATTCCCCTGTGGAGACTGGAGTCTGTACATGACTTCTACAAAAGGTTCTGGACCACTTGAAGGTTTCATTCATACAACAAATTCTCTTAAATCACCTGTTCATACCACATAAAAAGTAATCTGTTAATACGAGCAGTGCTCCATCTGAACACACAGCCTGTAAAATACAAATCATTTTTTTATCTGTAGAATTATTTAATTGTAGAATCAAGCTCCCTTAGACCGATAAAACCCCAAAACCTGTGTCTTTACTTTTTCCTTAATCAGAGTGATCCAAAAACATATTAGGGAGTTTTTTTTATATGAATTAGAAAAGATGTGTGTTTTTATATTTTCATGTAGTGATATTATACATTTCTCACATCCTTCACTTCACTGAAGTTCTTCCTAATCCACCAGGACTTGGGGGGCGTGTTTGAAGTCCAGGTGCATTTTGTGTGGATGACATGAAAATAATATTGAGAATGGAGCTTTAAAGGGAATTTGTACAGAGGATTCATCTGCCTTCTAATGGTTTTGTTTCCATAGTAACCGCTGTCTGTCTCTGCTGTATCTGAGGATGTTCCATCTGAAGAAAGACCACGCTGTCAAGTACTCACGGTCGCTCATGGAGTACTTCAAGGTAGCGCACGCACACACACACACACACACACACACACACACACACACACACACACACACACACACATTTGGACATGGACTTCATTTCCTTCCTCTCTCATTTTCTCCCTCTGTGGTTGAAAAACACGCAAAGCCAATTACAACCCTCAAATACATTTCATATTCATTTTCATGGTGCCTGTGCATTAATTTTGCATGACGTTATTAAAATCCATTCTTTCTCTTTGATATTAATGTATTAATTAGCTCCATCAATCATCACAGTGGATTGTTAGGGTTTAATGTGCTTGTTTTGATTAATTATGTTTAGTTTAATTAATTACTGAGGATGTCATTATCACAGTGCCACATTTGCATTGATGGGATTGGATTTCTGGGAAGCGACTGACTGGGGGTTTAGCTGTGTGCGCAGCCTGTGTACATACAGTATGTGTTGATAGAAAGAAAAGGAGTAACTGGAATGAACAGTTTATTTTAAAAGAAAAAGGGCACAAAAACAAACTGTCACATACATATCCACACGACACATTAAAGTGGATTTTAAATGCCAGTCAATCAATAACATTATATCCTTCAGAAGTTACGCATATGTGGTGTTTTGGTTGCTCAGTGGACTAAGGCTAATGTCACATTAGCATTCATGTTTTAGCCATGTAGCTGCGGCTTTTGTCTATAGTAGTTTGTCACACATTGTGACACATTTCAATTCACAATAAATGTATTTGTGGAATAGAACAAAAATATAGATGTTGATATTACTTATTGCATGATTTAAAAAAAACAATTGAAGGTATTAATAGTTATTGAGCTTTTATGTCTTGTGTCTTGGTAAACAGTTTATTCAGGAATGGAAATGTAGACTCTGATGGTTCTCAGAGCCAGAGATCACGACTCAGGAGGCAGATAAAAGTAGAGAGTCTTTACTTAGAAAAAAAAAACAAGGATACAAAAATTCAAACAGACAAAGAAAGTACAAAGGGTCACACTGAGGCAAATATCCAAAAAAAAACACAGGTCAAAAACACTATCAGGATCAAAACAGGCAGGCAAAGAACAGAAGCGCTGGAAAGCTTAAGCAGACCGCACAAAGACTAAATTTGGCAGAGAGCAAGTGCAAAGGGAACCGTATACAGTGCATCCGGAAAGTATTCACACCCCTTCACTTCCCCCACATTTTGTTATGCTACAGCCTTATTCCAAAATGGATTAAATTCCTTTTTTTTCTCATCAATCTACACACAATACCCCATAATGACAAAGCGAAAAAGGTTTTTTAGAAATTCTTGCAAATTTATTAAAAATAAAAAACTGAAATATTGCATGTATATAAGTATTCACACCCTTTACTATGACACTCAAAAGTGAGCTCAGGTGCATCCTGTTTCCACTGATCATCCTTGAGATGTTTCTACAACTTGATTGGAGTCTACCTGTAGTAAATTCAATTGACTGGACATGATTTGGAAAGGCACACACCTGTCTATATAAGGTCCCACTGTTGACAGTGCATGTCAGAGCAGAAACCAAGCCATGAAGTCAAAGGAATTGTCTGTAGACCTCCGAGACAGGATTGTATCGAGGCATAGATCTGGGGAAGGGTACAAAAACATTTCTGCAGCATTGATGGTCCCGAAGAGCACAGTGGTCTCCATCATTCGTAAATGGAAGAAGTTTGGAACCACCAGGACTCTTCCTAGAGCTGGCCGCCCAGCCAAACTCAGCAATCGGGGGAGAAGGGCCTTGGTCAGGGAGGTGACCAAGAACCCGATGGTCACTCTGACAGAAATCCAGTGTTCCTCTGTGGAGATGGGAGAAACTTCCAGAAGGACAATCGTCTCTGCAGCACTCCACCAATCAAGCCTTTATGGTAGAGTGGCCAGACGGAAGCCTCTACTCAGTAAAAGGCTCATGACAGCCCACTTGGAGTTTGCCAGAAGGCACCTAAAGGACTCTCAGACCATGAGAAACAAGATTCTCTGGTCTGATGAAACCAAGATTGAACTCTTTGGTCTGAATGCCAAGCGTCACGTCTGGAGGAAACCAGGAAACTGGGAAACTAGTCAGGATCGAGGGAAAGATGAACGGAGCAAAGTACAGAGAGATCATTGATGAAAACCTGCTCCAGAGCGCTCAGGACCTCAGACTGGGGCGAAGGTTTACCTTCCAACAGGACAACGATCACAAGCACACAGCCAAGACAACGAAAGAGTGGCTTCGGGACAAGTCTGTGAATGTCCTTGAGTGGCCCAGCCAGAGCCCAGACTTGAACACGATTGAACATCTCTGCAAAGACCTGAAAATAGCTGTGCAGCGACGCTCCCCATCTAACCTGACAGAGCTTGAGAGGATCTGCAGAGAAGAATGGGAGAAATACCCCAAATACAGGTGTGCCAAGCTTGTAGCTTCATACCCAAGAAGACTTGAGGCTGTAATCACTGCCAATGGTGCCTCAACAAAGTAATGAGTAAAGGGTGTGAACACTTATGTACATGTGATATTTCAGTTTTTTATTTTTAATAAATTTGTAAAAATTTCTAAAAAAAACCTTTTTTGCTTTGTCATCATGGGGTATTGTTTGTAGATTGATGAGAAAAAAAAGGAAATTAATACATTTTGGAATAAAGCTGTTACATAACAAAATGTGGGGAAAGTGAAGGGGTGTGAATACTTTCCGGATGCACTGTATATACTGGGGAACTGATGAGGGAACGGGGAACAGGTGAGCAGGTGAGTGGGGGAGGAGGAGCGGGTCAGGTGATACTACAGGTGGAAGAGGCAGGGTCTGAAATGACAGCAACTCAAAACCATGACAGCAGACTTTGTAACATCTGTCCAGGGCGTATTTACAGCAATGTCCATTAATGTGTGTTGACCCTTTCAACCGATAAATAAATACGGACATTTCGTAAAATACACTTACTCATGTTATGAGAGTTAGAAAAGAAGTCTGACACCACTCCCCCAGTCATCCCTTAAATATGAAGCTACAGCTAGCAGTTCGTTAGCACAGCTTAGCATAAAAACTGGTAGCACACTGAAACTGCTGGCCTGATTCTGTCTAAAGGTTAAAAAAAAAAAAATCTACAAAATCTGTAAAACCGCAACTATTTTGTCCGGATGAAACAAATGAGATATAACATGATAATTACTGCGCTTTAGAAATGCCGGTTGGTAGACTTTGTGAAATTTTCAAATGTAAACTATGATTTTCGGTGCATGTTTTCGCTTCTCTTTCTTCAATCTCCTGTTACTATGTCACTGGAGGCCATGAAATTATTTTGATAAATTTGTCTTTTTGTGACCCAGAATTCAGCCAAGAGTTCCCACCAAGCACCTTCTCCTTGGAGGACCAACGGGAAGTGAGTACACACACACACACACACACACACACACACACACAGTATCAACCCCCTTCATTCACACAGATAATTGAGAATTTATAATTCACTGGAGCTCTGCTGCAAAATACCATGCCGCCTCTGACAGCCACTTGCTCAAACAAACCCCTCAGGAAGCAAATAAAAGGATTGATTTGTTGTAGATGTGAGGAGGAACACTGGAGGGGAACACTGGAGGGGTGCTGAGTACAGGGTGAGAAGGAGTGATGGAGGGAGTGATGATAGATGGAGGAGGAGAGGCGTGGAGGAGCTGTGGATGTGAAGCTAATGAGTTTGGACAGCTCTGACGCTGCACAACAGCAGGACTGAAGTTCGGGAGTGTATCTGCATGGCTGTGTGTGTGTGTGTGTGTGGTGTGTGTGTACGTGTGTGTGTGGTGTGTGTGTGTGTGTACAGCACTGAATAAGGCACAAGTCGTTGGGTCAGCGACGGTCAAGGCCACATCACAGACGTTACATCACTGCCAGAGCAACACACCCAGCTGTGCAAGGCAGGGGGAGCAGTTTGTACCGGCATGACTAATGACACTATACAGTGAATATCAGAGCCGCTACACACCCTCTCACATTCAACACTTTTTATTGCCCTAGGGCAATAAATGGTAATGGCTCTTTTGTTGTATTTGCTATAGTTTCCTGCAAAGTCAAAGCCTAAATAGAATACTGTTATTTTTTCAGAGTACTGTCCACCATTATTCATGTGCAGCATACTGTATCATTGCTAATTTAGTTATGATACATTGGTAAAACCACTTAAGGATAAAAACAATTGATAGCCTCTGTCTCGTGTACCTCTACTGTTCTGAGCTCTACCACAAATTTAAAGCTGCACTATTCAACACATTTCTATTAACATTATGTATTTCCGCTCATTGTTTAACACTAGTTACTGTTCTTGTTCTCTGATCTCATTGATGTTGTTTTCAGTCACAGCTGATCCTGCTCTGATAAACACACTGTACACTGCCTGCCCCCCAGCACCAAACTGCAGACCAAGTTAGCAACTAGCCGGGCAACACAAAAAGTCAGATCACCACAAACACGACTCCAAAAGAATAATAATGTTGCTCTGTGTCTGCTGGATGCCTTTATTGGCAACTAACACATTCACCATAACAAGGGTTTAACAACTTTATAAGGTGATAATTAGTCAGTGTCGTGTTTACAGTCTGTTCCACTGGCCCCTGGTGGCCAGAAAAATGGTTAATGCAGCTTTAATACCACATTTTTTATGAAACTTGTTGCTTCCTGTCACAAATATGTTATAAGTATTTTGTTGCTTTCCATGTTGTACAGTACTTTCCTGAAGAGGATACATGTTTTGTTCCCATTAGCCTCTTGTCGCTCACCCTGACCCATTTCCAGTTCTCTATGTGCTGATAAAAATATTGCTTTTCCTATTTTGTGCTGTAAAGCAGCTTGACAATTATTCCACCCAAGCTACATGCAGTATCAAAAACCCGCAGTAGAGTCCTTAAGCTGGCAGCCTTTTTTCAAATGAAGACGGTATTCAGCAGACACATCTTTAATTCTGTTTGGAAAATGTGTAACTAAGCACCTGGCTGACAGACTTTCTTCTTTGTATATTATGGAGTAACTCAGAAGCCCCTCCAGCACACAGAGCCTCCCTGTTTAGTTCCTGTAATGTGTCTAGACCTCACTGCCTCTCTCTGTGTCCCAGGGTCAATGGGACTCCATCGCCCCTCTCACTCAGCCCCTCCCCAGCCAGCAATGGAGGAGGAGGAGGAGCAGGAGGAGGAGGATCTGGAGGTGCCACAGGTTCATTGGGCAGTGTGGCTATTCCCCAACGGATTCACCACATGGCTGCCAGTCACGTTAACATCACCAACAACATCCTGCGGAGCTATGAACACTGGGAGACGGCTGACAGACTGGCCACTGATAGCCAAGGTAAGACTACAGACACATGACATGGATCAATGCCAAGGTCAAAATCATCCCTCTTTTGATCAGTAGAGTCAAATAGAAGTCAATGAGTCTTTCTAAAAGTATTTCTAAAATTTTGGAATCATTTTTAGTGATAAATCATTTTATCACTATCACTAATTAGTACTGTTATTTTCCAGTGTGTGTCGCTGCTTGTACTAAACTGATGTTTTTTCTTCTAGAGTGTATATGTGTATTTCACTGTGTTGTATATGTCAGACTTCTATTGCAGCATCAGGATGAATAGAATTTAATTGTATTCTTCACAGTAAAAGCACTTTTTGATCCTTTCTGTAGAGGTCCCATATAGTATAAAATGAGATTACCGTGCGTTTGTTGATTATGAAGCAGGTCTAGGTTCGATATTAATACTGTGAAAGTATCAAAGCGCTCAGTCCACAGAGAAATGTACACAGCCTGTATTCAGAAACTGAGCCTTAAAACGAGCAATCAGGACACAGTCACCACACTCAGCTATTTTTTTTTCTCATTTTAACTTTATTAACAACACAACACTAAGCGGCCATCTGAGTTAGCAGCTACAAGACAGAAAAATTTGAAGATGTAAAACTACGTTGAGATGGTTTTTCATACTTAAAACCACAAATGCATCTTCTTATGGCTCAACACTTGAAATAAAACACCGGGAAAGTTTAAAACATATAGCATCTTTAATTAGATTACTGCTCAACCAAAAGCAGGCGTGATTGTGGAAAGTGCTATAAGGTTAGTGTCCAGTTATGAACAATGATTCATCTGACATTTCTCTAGATGCTCACAGTCCCATCGCAAAAACTTCCAAACTGTTGTGTGTGTGTGTGTGTGTGTGTGTGTGTGTGTGTGTCATGTCGGCACAAGCAGCAGCAGATACAGTCGGCCTCAGTAACTGTGTCTCTCCCTCACCGTCCTGTAGATTTCTTCCAGGAGCTGGACTCGGTGATGGAGCCGCTGAGTCAGCAGAGCAGCATGACTGAGCTGGTCCTATACATCAGGCAGGGACTGCACTGGCTCCGCATAGAGGCTCACCTGCTGTAGAGACGGGACAGGAGACAAAATTAAACAAAACAAAAAACAAAAAAAAAAAAAGAAAAAGAAATGGGCCTGGGAGCTAGAACTGGGATAACAAGTGAGAGGAGACTCAGGATGATGCTTCAATTCCCTGTGGGATCTTTCAAATGAAACCAAACATCCAACGATAATGTAATGACATAGACTGGGTGGATAAATTGGACTGAAATTCACCTGCAGCTTGAACTGAACAGTAACTAAGTTTGGGAGTTTCAACTGTGAATCACAGAATACAAATTAGCGTATTAAAAATTTGGCTGATTCTGTTTTTTGGAGAGAATAATACATCAGAGCAGGTAGCTTAGATTCCTATGGGGACAATAGATGTTACAAACTCCCTGTCTCCCTGAGTAGAAATAAGAACCAGATAGGAAAAAGGAAATAGCACTTTTACTAAGACAGGATCATTTTAAAAAAAGATATGTGAGAGGCTGATGTGATTAAGGTAGGAAAGGAGCTCAACAGAGGCTCATCTCCTCCTGCAGTGGCCTAGAAACGTGTCTGTGATTGGGACTACAATTAAAGCCTCTGGCTGATATCGATCCAAGTGGAAAAGTACTGGTCCAATCCATTAGATAAGAACCACGCTGGTAAAGGAGAGAGGCTCAGGTACAACCACAAGAGCTGAATTAATGGAGGCTGAAGTTAGTCCTCTGCTTCTCTGTCAGTCCATCTTCAGTCTTTAGTGATGGATCCTCCACAATGAACTCTGGCAATCAGAAGCCAGAACCCGCCTCTGTTCTGCATCTTTTTCTATTTTCGTTCAAATGACATACACATGCACAGGCATCTACAGGAAATGTACTGATGCAATCCAGGAGGGATAATCCAGAACAGCTGGTCTTTGGCATTTTGAAGAGTAAACATATTAACATATCAGCACAAGGACAGCTACAATGATAAAGAAGTCACATTTGCTATTTAAACAGATACATCAGTTGTGCATCTTCTTCTGTTGTATTTCTGACAGAGTAGCTGCTAAAAGCTCACTTCCTGTAACTGAAAGAAATCTAATTTCAAACTGAAATCTGGGACTGGTCTGATTAAGACATTCTTAGCGCTTCCACCAGTAACCACAAGTGTCACCAAATCAACCAGAAATTAAATTTGAAGTTACAGTTTCAGGATTTGCTTCCTAAATCTGGATTATTTTCTAGTCAACCACAAGAAACCAGTTCATCCAGGTTTATTTATTTGACCTCATCTGAGTATTACAAGGTCTGTTTGAGAACTTTCCATATTATACTGATATGATTATTGGTACCAATACCAAAACAATATATAAAGAAGTTGTTATGCAAAACTGTTTTTTGCATTTAACAAAAGAAGCGAAAGTTCTCAGATATCTATACGCAGTCATACATATAGAATTTTTCATAAATAAAAAGGGTTAGGGTTAATAAAAGGTTACTGTCCATTTTTTTAATTGAAATTTTCAATATGGACAAATCTATCACAGCCCCAAAAATATTGAGACTTGGTACCTAGCCGTCTGGTTAAGGGCAGTGACACTAACATTTTTAAATGTTAACATTGTTTAAATACATCTGTGAGCACAGTTATCAGGATATCTTTTGTTTATCCATTTGCTATCAAGAAACTCCCACTATATGTGACCTGCATCAGTGGTTTGTTTAAGCAGAGGCTCTCAGGTCTCAGAGCGCCTCGGTACAATTGAATCAAGATAACTTCAACATTAAGATGTGTCTAGCCAGAGTGAGGATTATAAGACCTGGTCAAGTTGCAGTGCAGGGAGTTAATAGCCCAGCAGAACAAGCACTCAATTCACCGGTACTACAAATGAGGGCTTTTTCCCATCAAATAAAGCATTTGTCTGGTTCTTCTCTTACCGGTTATGGGCTTTTGTGAAATCCCACTCAGCTCTAGTTCCCATAGTAACCCACCCACTAAGGTGTCAAACACTTACAGGGGGAAAAACTACAAGATTCAGTATGATTTGGCTCTAATTGAGCTCCCACCCATGTGGAAATCAAGTAAACAGGGTGAAAATCTCACAGCAGCTTTTCTGCTCTGATGTAAAAAAAAATCTGCGACTTTGTACAGCACTTAATGAGATCAAATCATCTGCTGGATATCCTGTAGTCGTTTCCCGACATTTGTCGTGTTGTGTTGTTAGTGTGTATACGTGTACAGCTAATTGTCAGGTCTATTTAAATCATTACCTGACTGGAATAATGATGTTTGTGTATCATAATGTACAGACTGTGACTCCTGAAAACAGTGTTTGTTTTTGTTTTTTAGCGTCTTGTGAATGATTCAATGTGAATGGATGAGTAAGTGAAACAAGAAAATAGGGTATCTATATATCTGTGTGTGTGTGTGTGTGTGTGTGTGTGTGTGTGTGTGTGTGTGTGTGTGTGTGTGTGTGTGTGTGTGTGTGTGTGTGTGAGAGAGAGAAAGAGAAAGAGAGAGAGAGAGTGTATAAGAGCGTGTATGTGTGTGTGTGTCCATGCGCAGGCTATGGCTGCATTTACACAGCACCAAACATAATCTGATTTTTAACTCTTTGTGGCACATGAAATCAAAAGGAGACTACACTGTTCCCATGTCGTTTCTCTTCTCTTTTCACGTGGGCTATAAAGCCTTAAAATCTGGATTTTTTTTTTCATGGTCTCTGTAAATCCAGCTCATCAAGCATGAGTTTTTAAGTTTTGGATCATTTGACCATCGCTGAATGTGTATGGAAGACAATGCGGATGTGAAAAATAATTTTCACTTTGACAAAAAAAAAGAAACTCAAGTGCCTCTATTTGTGTCCAGTGGGAATTGCTCTATTTATTTAAGAACAAAGAATGAATCTAAATGATTTTCCATACCATATTGGTATAAATATGAGATTGTTTTTCGTAAAATCAAATGTTTCCATAAGCTTTTTACTGGCGTTTATGACGACACCAGGGTTTGGCTTTAAGAAAAATGTGTGATTTAACGTGTCAAATTTGCATAAGTTGCTGTTTCTTTTCTCTCTTGATGATTTGAAAGTATGGGTTTGTCTGAAATGCCTGAAAAACTAAAACCATCGCATGCAATAAATGATAGCTTCAGACCAAGAACTACTTGTGTCCATTTTGAAAAAAAAAAAACAAAAAAAACAATGTATTTCTTGTCGCATAGTCATTTGCAGTGTGAATGTTCTACATCACCTGAAAGTACAGAGCCGCTTTAAATGCACAACCCTAAAGATAACAGTCTGATGGAGGTAAAACATTCAAGAATATCATGGTATTTAAAACCTTAAAGGAACAGTTCGATACTCTTTCTTGCTGAGAGTTAGATGACAACATCGATACCACTCTCATGTTTGTGTGCTAAACATGAAGCTAGAACCAATAGCTGGTTAGCTTAGCTTAGCACAAAGACTGGAAACAGGGGAATCAGCTAGCCTGGCTCTGTCTGAAGGTAACAAAGCCCGTCTACTCACACTTCTAATGTTAACCAAATAACACATTATATCTAGTTTGTTAAAGGTTATTTTCAGGTAACAAGGAACTTAGATAATAGCTGCTACGTTAGGTGTTAACTGAGTCACGGTAGTCCTGTGAACTGTCACATGATTAGTTACTATATGGACACCAGAAGAAGTTTACAGGACTGTCATGATAGCAGGTGGATCTCATAGTGAATATGAGAATCTATGAGAGGGAGCCAGTGTTTGATAGTGCATCATCGCATTTAAAATCACTATGTTGATACAATGAGAAAGGCTGCTGAACTGAATACATTGTCAAGAGATGCGCTCCAGTAGCCACCAAATCCATGCACAATAAAAAAGCAAAACAACACATGAAAGCAGCCCATGAACCACAATATTAAAAAAAATAACTAGCATATGTCCCAAACATGCTAAAAGCCTGAAGACAGCAGAGAAAAACAGTGCAGTCATTTAAAATGACATAGGAAAAGACAGTAGATTTAATTAGACCTGTGAACTTTTAGACCTATAAATTACACTTATGAAATTCATTTATCATTCATTGTAGCTTTGGAAATGTCAAATAGTAAGTGGACAAAATGTAGTTACCTCTGGGGGAGCTCAGGTCTCTTTTGGGGGAGTTAAGCTCCCCTCTGGCTGCCCCCTAATTTGAACACTATATAACTTGTTTAATAGCGAGCTGTAGAGGTGCTGCTGAGTGGATTTTTTTTTTTGCCATCCTAGCTGTGGCCCCCTGTTTCCAGTCTTTTTAGCTAAGCTAAGCTAACCACCCATGCACTGGCTGTAGCTTCATATTCATCACACAGACATGAGTGGTAACAATCAGCAAGAAAGTAAACAAGCATATTTCCAGAAAATGTCAAAGTGTTCCTTTAAAATGGACTCTGAAATGGTTCTTCATCTGAAAGCGTAAAGATGTTAACTAGTTCGACAAAAATGCCTTTTAACGTTATTTTATTTGTTTTTTTCTCTTTTTCTTTTTTTGATTTGAGGTCATGAAGCCAAAATAAGCCCCAATGAGCCAATGAAGTTCTCCAATAGCCAACAAACGAAACCCACAATCTGTTTCTGTTAGACCTCAGTCATTACAAGTCCGTAATTGATCCAAAGTGTTGCTCAGTCCAATTCAATGATGTTTGGTGTTGTTTTGTTTAATGGTGAAACAGTGATGTTACTGTATGGTTATTGTTAATTTCACACAATGGTCCTTATTTTGATTATATGCAGCGGTACGATATACATAATTATACAATAATATGCTGTACAAAGTCTAAAGCATTGCATTGGTGACATCATGGGAAACACCTCACTATGTTACATGTCACATGATGGCTATGGTAAATGTTGAATTCATGCAACAGTTCATTTATATGCAATGTCAATATGTCAGTATATTCTGAAACATTTTGGAGACAGACTGCCTCAGCATGGCCTTTTATTCTGCTGACATCTTATTGAATATCCCATTAGCTCCTGTTACATTATCACAGTTGTCAACTTGTTTATCAAAGAC